GGTTGGTTCCAAGTCCTGATATAGGGTCACAATTACTATCGGTTTGGAACCGGTTCCACCTAGTCCCAAACTGATTCAGACCCAACCCGATATATATATATATAATGTATAATACATTAAATAAATTATATATATATATATATATATAATGTATAATACATTAAATAAATTATATATATACTATACATATAATATATAATATAATATATATAGAATATTTAATATATATTAAACATAAATATTTATTTTTTATTTATTATAATCAAGTATGTTGGGTCAAACCAGATTGTCCTGAGAACCGATCGATTTGGTTCCCGGTCCAAAAGTTACAAACCCTATTGGGTCCGGTTCCGGGTCCAGGTCTTCAACATTTCATGTTGGGTCGGTTCCAGTTCCAGCTGGTTCCGATCCAAACCCGACTCGTTGACAGCCCTAACTACAACAGACTCTAGAGAAGCTATAGTAGGTAGTCCTACARTAGTGGGTAAAGCTTCCAACAGGTATCTCTAGTATGTTTAGGTTTCTTACAATAGTCACAAATCAAGTCCTTCTTGTCCTTCCAAAGTTCATTGGGTCCGGTTCCGGGTCCAGGTCTTCAACATTTCATGTTGGGTCGGTTCCAGTTCCAGCTGGTTCCGACCCAAACCCGACTCGTTGATAGCCCTAACTACAACAGACTCTAGAGAAGCTATAGTAGGTAGTCCTACAATAGTGGGTAAAGCTTCCAACAGGTATCTCTAGTATGTTTAGGTTTCTTACAATAGTCACAAATCAAGTCCTTCTTGTCCTTCCAAAGTTCATTTCCACCCTTATCCCTACTCAACTTAGGCTTCACTGTGCTAGCCATAGCTGACTGTTAAGGCCTAGGTTTCTCATTATCATATTCCTCCTCTCCTCTCCAAACACAAAGGCRTATGCCTGAGAAAGAGTTAAATTGTCTCGGGAAAGAATATGTTGTCGTGCAATGTCATATTTAGGGTTAAGTCCTACTAGAAACTCAATTGCCCTATTCTTCTCTATCAGCTTCTAATAAGTTGATACATCTTTCTACTTTCTCAAACCAATCTCCAAATGACCTATCTCCTGTCATAAGATTTTGAGGGTTGAAAAATAAATTGCGACAAACTTATCTCCCTACCTAGTAGCAATCACCTGGTTTCTCAACTAGTAGGCTCAAGCAACATTCTCACTCTATGAATAAGTTTTTGCTACTCCATCCCAAATCCCCTTGGTTATGTTAGCCCAATTCTCAACTGGTTTCTCTTCACCAGTGACATACCCCAATTTTCCACAAGCTCCAATCTTTGTAGGTTGTGACCATTCTAAGTAGTTTGTACCATCCAACTTGATTGTAGTGATGGTCCTAGCCTCGAAGAACCAGCACCTCCTCTACCTAGTCCCATTTCACTTGTAGATTTGTTTTCAACTCCACAACCCTCCATAACACTCAGAACAGATTAGGAAATTAATTTTAGGAACCTCAAACACTTTTACCCTAAAAGCCCTTCTCACCAAAGATTCCCTTCTCCATGGGAGTGGGAAAAGGAAGAAAAGAGGCTGCCGTTCACTCCAGAGACCTCTAAAAAGACTGGCACTTGAACCACCCTCTTTAGAAAACCTCTAGAAACCCTAAAAAGCTAGAGTGCCACTTCCTATGTCAAAATTGAAAAGTCCTACTAAATCAAGATTCTTCCCCTTCCTCTAGTTCTTCCTGATTTTGGTGATAAACCCTAGCCCTTCTATAAAGGATTGCAAACCCACCAAAAAATCCAAAAAAACTGAGCTTACCTAAGTCCTCGATCAGCACTTTACCTCATCATGTAGTCGGCCTATCTAGGGGTGCATAATGGAACAGCTCAAACAATCCCTAAATTGGCTCTAATACCAAGTAGAAAAGTGTAAAAATTCTATTTTTGATATAAAATCTGTGAAAGAGAGAAAGAAAGAAAAAGAAGGTCTGTGAAGAGAAAAGAAGAGGAGAAAAGTTGAAGAGAATGGGGAGAAGCCAAAAATCAGGTCTGACTACCCCTTTCATTAGCTTATATACTCATAAATAAAACAGAATACAAAGATAAGTATGCCCTTAGTAAGTTGTCTACTTGTAAAAACTAAGTAAACACTCTTAGGGCTTGTTCGTTTCCTCTTAACTCTTATCTCTTAAGAGGAATCTTTTAACTTTAAGAGAAAAAATGGGTGTTCGTTTCCTCTTATCTCTTATTTCTTAAAGTGCAATCATACAACTTTTTGTTTTCCAATGATACTATTATGGACGCATTCGTGGGGGAGAAGTACCGCCACCGGCAGCAGTAGTAACGTGGGACCCTCATCAGATTATCTAGCTAGCCATAGYTCATCTTACCTTATCCTTTTCTTATCTGCTTTCTTACTCTTATCTTATCTGTTCCAATAAGGATTAGTATAGAGTCTGATTTATCTTAGGGAGTTTTCATCCTTCTTGAGTAGGGAGTCTTATCTAGGAGTCTTATCTATCTTATCTATAAGCAGTTTAGTTAGTCTTATCTAGGAGTCTTATCTATCTTATCTGTAAGCAGTTTAGTTAGTCTTATCTATCTTATCTGTAAGCAGTTTAGTTATCAAGGAGTCTTCCTACAAGGAGGACTCTTACCTCTTGTAATCTCCTATTTAAGGAGCTGAAAATATTGAATAAAGATATCAG